TAAGAGCGATGCCTCCAACCTACTAGCGATGGCCTCAAACCTAGAAGTGATGGCCTCTAACCTACTAGCGCTGGCCACCAACCTAAGAGCGATGCCTGATGTCCTCCAACCTACTAGCGATGGCCTCCATCCTCAAGTTGTTTGTTGAAGAAGATGAGATTTGTAGCAATGCCAGTATTTAGTAGCAGCAAGTAGGTTATACTTGTTTTTTGCACGTAATTGTAATGGGTAGCAAAGGCCAAGACATACCACGAAGAAAGCTTGTACTCCTCTCAGTCTGGTTCGGGGGGGGTCTTTGAAGAACCCTCAGTGTTATTCGACTCCCTCGAACTGCTTTTATCAGTGTGATACTGGTAGCCCAAACAACAGGTGGATGCGGACCACCACCGACAAAGGAAGTGAAAAGCACACAGCACGAAGTCGAAAAGGTTGCTCTGCCAGCGGTCTTTTCCGGGTCGAAGCGCCGAGGTGCGCTCCAAGAGGTTCAAGTGCCACCAGCGTATGGCGGCCAGTGCAAAACACGTAGCGGGTCGCCTTGAAAAAGGCGTCAGGCAAAAGGGTCCCCTAAATGGCGGCGGAATGGATCGATGGCGAACATGACGTGCGAGGTTCGTGAATCAAATGCTGAAAGCAAACAGAATCACATGGGCGAAAGGTTTTCGCCTTAGATCCCTTCCACCGCTGCATCATCGAGGACCAGGTCTCATCTTCGATGAGCTCAGGGTCAAATTCCGGTTGGCTCTCAGGCAGCTGCCGCTTCTTCTTCTTTGCAGCAACAAAGCCTGGGTCGTACTTCACGTTCCACAGCTGACCTTTGGCCATGAACATCCTCATCAGGTCGGCCGCGCTGGCCTTGGTGAGGCCGTCAGCTAGTTGGGCATCTGAACTGACCCAAAGCAGGTTGGTCTTCTGCTTGGTCATGTTCTCGCGAACTGCGAGAAGCTCGAGCGCCGAGTACTTCTCCTTCATGGAGAAGGCTGCACTTGCTCCATCGCCTTGGTGAAAGGCATCAAAGGCGCTCTTGGCGTCGATGACAGCTGCTGCGCTCACCTTGGTGGTCGTGAGCTCGGGGTGCAACAGGTTCATCTCATGGCCAAGGAGCTCAGCCCACAAAGCTCTGCAAAACATGAGCTCTTGCTCACCTTCTCCTAGAGCTTGAAGCTCTGCTGCCAAGGAGCTGCGCGCTGTGCGGTGCAGTTTGCCGCTGCGCCAGGCCACCAGGTTGACTGGTGATCTTTCACCATCCAAGATCCTCTTGTGGCAGAGACCCACCACATAGCCACCTGTCGAGGCCAGATCTGGCCTGTTGGCCACAGCTGCATCTGTCCAGACGATCATCGTCAGGTCGTCGTCTGACATGGCGTCGAGCTGCTGAACTTTCACCGACAAATCTCTTTGCGAGTAAACCTCGCGTACCAGTTTGTTGATCTGGTGGAGCACATCCTTAGAATGCCGGCTGTGAGGCAGCATGGACTGCAGCAAGGAAAGGCGGGCAGCATGATGAGGTGCTGTCTGACTGACACGCCACTGAATCGAGCCAAGGACGGCCCGAGCTTGTGAGAGCTCTTGAGGCGTCACCTCAGTGGTGGACTTGTCCAAGTCAATCTGCTTGATCTGGGAGGCATACTGGGAGTGGTCCAGGTGGAAACTGTAGTTGCTCTGTTGATGGATCTCCACTCCACAATGCAGATAGGGATCTGGTTCCCAGGGACTCCAGTTCAAAGCTTGATGAAACTTTTGCAGCGTTTCATGCCACAAAGCATTGTCTTCGTTGCCGGTGACAATGAAGTCGTCAACGTGACTGGCAACGGCGCCCTGGACTTTGCCATGTTCATCTTTGCACACCCACAGGCATGGCTCGCATACCAGTCGATGCATGCCACAAGTGGTCGTCGCAATCTTGTCGACATCACGGTACCACTCACGGGGCGCTGAAACAAGGCCGTAGGCAGCTCGCAGAAGGCGGACGGTGTCCTTGGGGCCACAGTTCATCTTGTCACCAAGCTCCTTCACAGGGAGCGCAAACACTCCTCGGCTCCGTTGAGATTCGGAGCCCTGGAGAAAGGCAGCTTTGGCGTCAGCCTTGATGGTGCGCCAATGGCGATGACATGCCAAGTTCAGCAACAGCATCTTGCTGCGTCTTGAAAGAGTTGGCGCAGCCTTGTCCAGGAACTCTTGGTCGGGGTCAGAGAAGCCCAAGATGACGATGCGGGCTTTCGCTTTGACTCGGTTGGGCTGATTTGGATCGTCCACGGCCTTAAACACTAAGACCCATCTCATTTTCATGAGCCTGGACTTGGGCACTGATGCTCCAGCCTTTTCACAAACTCGATTGGCGAGCCAGGAATCCACCTCTAACATCTTTGCCTCCAGCATAGCTTGCCTCTGGACGGGATTCAGCTTGTGCCAAGCCACTTCGCAGCCCTTCTTGACTGCCTTGGAGGTAAATTTCTTTGGCTCTTTCAAGATCTGCCTCCACTCATCTTCATTGGCCGGTGCGTCGATGGTCACCGACAGGATGAAGTCATTCTCCATGTTGGAGCACCAGCCAATTAGGTCAGGGTCCTGGTACTTCTTCGGGAACTTGGCATGGTGTGGTCTATCCTCCATCTCATGTCGCTTCCTCTGATGCTGGAAGCTCTTTCCGGCAGAATCTCTGCTTTCTTCCATGGGAGCGTCAGGAGGTTCGATAGGATGAAGTGGCATGTAGGAGGGGTCGTTCAGCAAGCGATCGATGTCCAGCTCATCTGAATCGTCGGGGTGCATTCCTTCTTTCAAAGTTGGATCCATGTGCACCTCCGAGTCAGGAAGAAGTTCTTCAGACGAGGAGCTGGCAAGATCATCAGGATCTTCCTCTTCTCTTACAGTTTTCAGCCTCTTGCCATCTTGGTGAGATGGGCGAAAGGTTTGTCTCCTTTTGGCTTCAAATCGCTCAGCCTTCGAAGTTGTGAGGTCCTCAAAGGCGCCCTTATGGAGTGAAGTGCTCATCATTGTAAAGGTCCATGGCATGGCCATCGTGCCAGAGGAGTTGGCAATCAGCAATTCTCGTTCACTGCCATGCCGAATCTGGTCGATGTGAGCCTTAAGCAAGCGTCCACAGCTTACCAACCAAATAACGCTTGAGGGCATTCGAGAAGTGCTGGAACTGTCCACCCTTGTCTCACAGGCCAAGACTCTAGCAGGCCCATACCACCGAGCAATCCGCATGCGGGGCATGTCCACATCCTCGTTGGCAGGAGCACGTCGAGGAACCTTATGGCGCTGGTAGTAGACAACATCTCCAGGCAAGAACTGTCGGGCAGGCTTGGAGCGGCTGTTCTTCGCTCGCGAAATGCGAGCATCAGCACTGAGCTTGTTGTGAAGATGTTCTGCTTCAATTCGGAGCCTCAGACTTTCAGCCATAGCGTGTCCAGGTGTTCCTTCGGAGCATGCCTCTGCAGGATTCACTGACACGCTCTCCGATCGCCCAAATGCCCATTGCGCAGGAGCAAAACCACCCACGCGAATCACATGGTTGTGAGCTTGGACCATTGCACTTGCGGCACGTCGAGGTTCAATGGGCTCGTTCCGGAGAAAGGTTTCCATCTTCCAGCGAAGCTCTCCAATGGCTTTCTCAACAGCTCCCGTGGCGGCATGATGTTCAGCCGGAACATGAGTCATCTCAATGCCACGCTCGGAGCACCACATTGCGAGAGCTGTGCCGCGAAATGCCCCTTCAGCATCACATCTAATGCGTGCCGGGTAGCCGAAGATTTGACACCAAGATTCCTCCAGAGCAGTGATGACCTCTGGGGTTGAGATGTTCTCAGATTCATCTTCGTGGTGAACCTTGATCTCTCTCACCACGGCAAAGGAGCTAGCCTCATCGAGCAGGAGGAGGAAGTGATGCACCTGCTTAGCATGCCTGAAGTAGAAGGCGTCCATCTGAAGTGTCTTCCAAATGGTATCCTCTCGCTCTAAAGACACCTTGGTGGCAGGCGTTGCCGTTCTGCTCTCTTGACATTCAGGGCAAGCCAACTGTAGAGCTGCGGCTTTAAGTTCTTCACTGGCTCCTCTTGCACGTAGGAGCTTCAGCAAGGCACGATTGTTTGGATGGCCGCAGAGACGATGAAGCTTGCGCACTGTCTCCATGAGATGTTGTAGTTCCTGAGGTGTGAGCTTCTCCAACACCTGGGGATCAGGCTCAACTTCAACAATCCCTCCAATGAGCTCGGAGGGTTCCAGCATGCCTTTGACCGCAATGTGGCACAACTGCTTGGTGTAGTAGGCGGAGGCCCGAGCACGTTGTCCAAGGCAAGGGACGTGGTGGTGCGAACCATCACAAAGTCTTGCCAAACCAGCCAAAGCTTGTGCTCTTGTGGTCATAAACCTCCATGGCTTCTTCACAGGGCCATCTGGAGACGTGAGGCCAAACATACAGCCATCGCCAAGCACTTCGTGAGCACGGTCACATTGCTGAAGAGCTTCCCAAAATGCAACCACTTCAGGAAGTTGCCATGCCTTATTGAATCTCGGCCATTCCCAGGCGATCTCGCCATCCATGGAGAGGTGTTCTTGTAGAACTCGTAGTCCACCTCGAAGAACTTTTCTCGCATGCCTTTTCCGGTAGGCACTCTTGACTTTTCCTTCAGGGGTGCGTTCATTGAGAGCTTGAACTGCCGAGGTAGGGCCACAAGGAAAGCTGACCCAAATCCAACGTGGTCGATGTTGGCGAAGTAGTGCCAAGGTTCGCTCAACTCCCTCAGGCTTGGTCAGGTCACATTGGTTGTGTAATCCAGCACGCCCTGCTCGACCACCTTGCCTGATAACTTCCTCGATCAACAAGCTGGTGGGGTCACAACACAATTCCATGACGTCCCATTGCGCCAGGGACGTGATTCCGCCATGAGCTTTGAAGATCATATCGCCTTCTTCAACCAGCTCATTCATAGCTTCCGTCACGAAAGCGAACTCCTTTCGTGGGAATGGAGTCATGGTGCGATCTTCACCTTCAAGTTCACCAGGTTGTAGTCCGTCCGCTGAGAAGGAATCAAATGCTTCTCCAACCTTCATGCCATGGGCATTCTCAGTCTTGAACTGGTTCGGAGGGACTTTGACATTCGGTGGAACCTGGGCATTCTTCAGAAATCTGACATTCGGTGAGATCGGCTTATTCGAATTCATGAGGATGTCGTCATTGGAGGTCAAATCACCCTGCGGGTCCTCAACATCGTAGTGACCTCCAGACTCCTCGAAGTTCACACTGACCTGGCTTCTCCTCCCCCGGAGGGAGGGCTCACGGGCGACCACGATCGGTGAGATCGATCCTCGTACTCCACCTGCTCGGCCGGAAGATCTGCAGCTCGACGGGATTTGCTCCCAGGCACCTGTGAGAGTTCCTCTGCATCTGCTGGAGATGCCCTCTCTGTTGCCGTAGGGGTTCCCGGACTGGAGGTCACATTGGTGCTCGGAGTTGGAGGAGCATAGTACCCTGCCGCTGCTTTGCGAGCACGGATGTGATCGAGCTTGGTGAGCAAGGAACGCTCGGCTCCGTCCAGGCCCACTGCCTGATTCTTCAACAAGGGGTTGTATGGAGCCTTCTCTCCAAGTTCCTCGATCTGGTGCTTCGTGTCCTCCGGCAGGGGACCGGCCTGCCTGCGCAGACCTGTTGCTCCGTAAGCCGGCGTGTACGACAGGCGGAGGAGGCACTTCGCACAGCCGACCCATTTTGCATGGCCGTTGGAGCCCGTGACCGATCCCTTGTATGCCGGAGCAGGATCGTGCTGACCATGGCACGGTGGTCCCAAGGTCCGGGGATCTCGTGGATCGCTGAGCACCGTACGAGTCTCGTCGTACCTGTCGTCCTTGCTGGACGTAGCCTTCTTCTTCTCCTTGGTGGAGGCCGCTGGCGGGCTCTTGGCCTTCGACGCAGCAGCTTGGGACATGGCTACCCAGCAAGGCGAAGTTGACCGCGGTGGAGGCCAGAAGGGTCAGAGCCTTCCACGACATTGATGTCTCTTGAGCCTCAAGGTCAGCGTCATTCGCTCCAGTGTTCAAGGATGGTCTCAAAGAAGTGGAGGTGGTCGAAGAAAAACGAACTGAAAAACATTCACTCAAAAACTCATCTGCAGCATGCCCGTGAAGACTCTTGTACATGTCCAACTCAAAATCATCAAGCAAAACCGACAAACTCGAAGTGGCGGCGTGTGAAGACTGTTCTGACTCATGGATCATGAAACACGACGACGGAGAAGGCTGCGAGCACATGTATTCCTCAGACTTCGTTGGTGCAGTGTCGGTCGTGAAGAGGATACGGGTGCCCTCACTCAACCAGTCATGGCTGAGGTCCATCACCAAATGCCCCGAAGAGGATTTCCTCAATGGAACCAGGAGGGAGGCATCAATCGCCGTCAGGACCATGGCAGATCTGCCACAGTCAATGAGCGCACCGAGTTTGGTGAGCGTGCGAATGCCAACCAAAACAGGGACACCTTGAGCTTCCAAGGTGTAAATGCCGAGCGACAGGCGGTGGTTGCCCAAGCGCTGAGGCAAAAGAATCATACTCTCAGACTTCTGGGTCATGCCGTTGCCGAACTTGAACATCTTGTTGGGCAGGCATCAGATCCTGACTGGTGCCGTTTGTGCATGATCCATTCCAGGGCAGCCAACCCTGAAACAGTCTCTGTCGCTCCTGTGTCGAGCACTCCATAGCCTTCCACCTCTGGGGATCCAATCTCATCAGCGACCATGATCTCCAGAGGCCGCTCCGGATGTGAAAGAGGGTGGCAAACAAAGGTCTCCACAGATTCGTGCTCATCAGTCACCATGAACACCTTGCCACCTTTGCCGCCCCGTGACCGACGAGGACACGAGCGGTAGTCATGATCCTTTGCTCCACAAATGAAGCAACCTTGGTAGCCAGGGGATCCCGGCTTTCCGCCACCTTGGATGGCCATCACCGGTGAAGATGCCGTAGGCGAAGTCGATGATGAAGGTCTCGAACCAAGCCCTTTTCCTTTTCCACCTTTCTTTCCAAAAGATGGTTTGCCTTTGAACTTGCCCTTGGGGAAGAAGCCTCGAGAAGCATTCTTGGCATGGGTCGCACGGCGGCTGTCTTGGAAAGACCTGATCTTCTCTTCATAGGCCGCATAAGCTTCTACAATGGGCTTCGATTCCTCAGGGGAGCTCCAAAGGACAGAGTTCCAAACATCGGCCTCTGACCATGACCAGAACGCTCCACCGGCATCTTGGTGATAGTACTCGCCGTCGGCTTCCAAGTTCCACCACAAGTAGGCTCCTGGGCTTGAAGGATCTGAGGCCCAGAAACCATCATCCGCTGCAAAGGTCTCCTCAATCTCAGGTCGTGAGGTCGAAGAGCTCTTCCATGGCCTTTTGGACGGCCTTCGCGCTCCTTTTCCACAAGACGAAGCTCGTCTTCTGCTCCTCTCAAGCCCTTCTCGATGTCGTCGGCCTTCAAAGAATTGCCAATGCTTGAGAGAACATTCAAACGCTGTGCTGCGTTCAAGGAGGACTTGCGCAGCATGATCCAGCCAATCAGTTCACTAGGAAGCACTTCAGGAAGGCCAACATCCAGGTCGTCCCAAAAGTGGTCATTCTCGGGGTCCTCCTCGCTGTCAGACGGGTCCGAACGTGAGCCCCTAGAAGGAGAGTGGTAGTCCTCTTTGCCTTTTCCAGATTTGCCACCTTTTGAGGAGTGGCGAGTAGGAGATCTCGGGGGAGGCTGCTCTTCATCTTCTTCTTCATCTTCAGCAGCTCGCTGAGCTTCCTCAGCTTCCGTCCCTTCTTCAGCTGCCGGCTCAGGAGATGAACGTGCCCTCGAGGATGTCAAGGATGTAGTTCCAACACCTTTCAAGTCAGGGAGATCTCCTCGAGCACGCTTCAAAGCTCGTTGCAGCTTCCGGTACTGCTCACGGACTTGAGTGCACCAAGTTGCCATGGATGTACCTGGCATACGGCGTAGCCGCAACAGCAAAGCTTCAGCCTGAGAGCCAGCGTCAGGGATGGGAACTCGAGCAAGGCGTTCCTCCAAGAAGGATATCAAGTAGCGAGCACCATTGGCCTGGGTCAGGGCCTTGTAGTCAATCTCCTGTGTAACGACCCAGGCGCGTCCCGAGAGCTGGGACACCAGGTCGGGTCCAAGTTGTGCTCGTCGACGGCGTCTCGTCTTTTCAAATGCCAAGCGGACCTTTCTCACATAGTCCGGCCAGGTGCTGAAGTCACCGTCCCAGTGACACCTCAAGGACATATCTTTGTCCTTTTCAGTCATGACTGAACTTCAGGATGGGGTAGTCGAGAAGGAGGGAGGTGTGCAGGACAAAGTACGAACCAACCCAAAACAAATGAACCAAGGTCCAAAGCCAAGCTAGCCAGTGCCGAGGCGGTCCTCAATGTCTCGTGCAATGAGTCTAGCCACCTTTCAACAAAGGGTCACCAGCCACTGTCCCCTGGATCCAAAACTCGTGCACCTCTTCTTGAAGAGCTCCGGAGTGATCCTCTCGCTCTTCAAGGTAGCCCGAGCCTTGCAGGCTCCGCTACCAGTATCAGTGTGATACTGGTAGCCCAAACAACAGGTGGATGCGGACCACCACCGACAAAGGAAGTGAAAAGCACACAGCACGAAGTCGAAAAGGTTGCTCTGCCAGCGGTCTTTTCCGGGTCGAAGCGCCGAGGTGCGCTCCAAGAGGTTCAAGTGCCACCAGCGTATGGCGGCCAGTGCAAAACACGTAGCGGGTCGCCTTGAAAAAGGCGTCAGGCAAAAGGGTCCCCTAAATGGCGGCGGAATGGATCGATGGCGAACATGACGTGCGAGGTTCGTGAATCAAATGCTGAAAGCAAACAGAATCACAGCTTTCACTCTCACCATCTATCACCCAAAACATCTCTGGTCACTAAGACACAGGAAATCAATTGTCTTCCTTTTTGATCATGTTTATTCCTAGGTCTGGATCTCTTTCTCATTCCGTGTCCTGGTTGTAGATGGAATCACCCCCGGAGCCATCGCCTTTGGTGATGTCACCACCTGTGAAGAACACCCACCACACCAGTTGCAACACAAAACACATAACTCCAGGAGAAGAATCGAGTCAGAAATCATTATGTAAATGGTAAAAAGGACCGGAGCGGTTGGCTGAAACGTGTCCATCACGTGGTCGGAAACATCACTTGTGAAGCTGGAAAGGACTGGGAGGTTCAGGTCTGGTTGATAGCGTGCCCGCTAAAGCGCGTGCAAAACGGTTGCACCTTGGATGATTTTGCCCGGGATGATCTTGTGAAACCTGGAAAGACAAACGACAAAGCTGGCATCACGGTGAAACAATGAAAAATGATAAACAAAAGAAAATACTGAACTCTCAAAATGCCATGGCCTGCTTCCTTTGAAGCAGAGCGGCTTGCCAGAAACAGCGCTGACGCCTCGTTCTCCTCACTGCTCCGATCTCGGCTAAAAACAAACAGAAGCAATGCTCACCCCAAACATAGATCAAACAATTTGAAAGGAATTGGATTTATCTGAGGAACGTTATTGTTTTTGGTGTAATTCAACATTGTGGTATCTTAGATAATTCAGAAAATCAAAGTGAACTCTGGTTAGTTGTCAAAAACAATTCTTATCTCTAACGTAGTTTTTCGAAGTTTGAGGCATGTGTAAGGTTTGTCTACTTGTGTTGTTGTACTTGTACACCGATGGGCACATCTACCTATACAACCTTCCTGGTTTGCGGTGCTACCAATGACTGGGTCCTAAGGAAGTTCCCAAGTTGGAGCCACGGTGCGATGGCCTCCATCCTAGTACCGATGTGGTCCAAGAAAGCAAGAAAAAGAACATGAAAGAAGAGAAAACAAAGTAGTTGCTGTTGGGTGTCCTCTTCTTGTGTTACTGGTGTTCATTGAGAACGTCTGCTTTTCATTACTCCTGGGCTTTCTGTATGTGTGTGTGTGTGTGTTTTACTTGTGGACCCTCCATGCAAGCACGACACCTTGAGATAGTGAATGTCGGCTTCTTTTGTGAAAGACATGACACAAGACTTACTTTCAAAGAAATCACCTAGTCACTTGCTTATGACTTAACTAAAAGGCTAATTCCGATAACAATGATGAGATTATTAGATCATTTGTTTGCTCAACAACACTTTATAGCATCTTTTCTCCTCAAAGTCCTTCCCTGACGATGTGACCTCAGGTTCTGTGGCCCCTCCCATGGTGTTTGTGCCATTCCAGACTTCAAGAGACTCGACGTCTCGGTCTCTTGTTACTACTAGTAAGGCACTTGTTACTAGTAGCGATGCACTTG